GGGGGCGCAAATCTATAGTGTGATGCGCACAATTAACAAAATGCAGTCGGGGGAAAACAATTCTGGGTTTGTTAGGGGGGAGGCAATCACGGACTGATTGAATTAGGCCAGTCCTTTTTTTTTAAAAAAAATTACTCCTTTATTTTGTTAACTAATATTAATATACATTATTATTTACAAATAAATAATTAAGTAAACAAATTAAGGGTAAATATGTAATTTTATTATTTTAATCCATGTATAACTAATACCCCTCATAACTTATTCCACCTTCTACCCCGCATAAAATTATACATAGATTTCCTCATAAGTTATGTGAGTATTAGCTATGTAGAATTACAAAAATGCAACCAAACAACACATAAATCAATACATGAATAACTTTTATACAACATTTGGAGACACACCAACCAAACATTGTATAAAATTTATACATGAATAAGTTTGATTCTATTTACAAACCAAACATGGTATAAAATTAATACATGAATAACCAAATTATTCATGTATTAACTTTGCCCCTTATCCAGTAACCAAACGGCCCCTTAGTTTATTCATGAACTAACACTCATGTATGTGTGTTTCCAAGGTGATATGAACCTTTTGGGATAATGATGTATCTATTATGGCATTTATCAAAGTGGCTTTTGAAGTGATTTCTCTACTTATAAATTGAGATATCATTCTTCATGTATGACACAATTGAATAAGAAGAAAAATCTTCTCCTACATCTACTTCTCTTGTCTTCTTCTCTTTATACTTATATTTCTTTGAGCTTGATTTTATAACATAACATTTACGACATCAAATCTTTTTCATTTTCCATATATATTTGAGCAGCAACAAATCTTTGTCATTGTCCACGTATTGACTATGTTAGTCTTTATTAAGGCGTATTATCTATAATTTCTACATGCATACTTGCATATAATGCGTCAGTCACATACATGCACCACATATGTGGATTCTTTCATCTTTGAGGAAATATTTCACAAATAACATTGCAATGCACAGTGATTAATTAATTTGAATGTTGTTAATCTTCCTAGCTCTACTCGAGTCGAGGATTCTTGAAAACTGTCCAAATAAAATTTACGTATAATTTATGTTCCTCAAACTTCACTTATTGGATTCTATTAATGAGCACGTTATTATTGTTGTATTCTTTAATTGATTCTTTATTTCTACAGGAAAATGGAATTAAAGAGATCAAGAAATTTCAAAGGAGTGAAAATAAGGAGTAACA